GGACATCAGTTCCACTGGATCAGGTCTCCACACAAATAAGGACCCCCACTCAGTTAGCCTTCATTACCTTCTTAAAGGCCTTATCTCCAAATACAATCAAACTGGGGGTTAGGGCTCCCACTTATGAATCTGGGGACGGAGAGGGACACGGTTCCCTCCACCACACACACACATACACACACGCGCACGCACAGACACACACACACACGCACACGCATGCTTCCCTCCTCCCGCATATGGATTCTGTCTCCCTGAGCCCAGTTGGTGGCCCTTCTGTGTGCACCTGCACAGCTGCGTCTCTGGATTCAGCATCTCCAGGGGCCGAGGGCTTCCACGTGGTGAGCCAGAGCAAAGGGCACACAGCATAAGGCAAGCGCAGGGCAATGGGAGTCAGAAAACAGTAAAGTAAAACCTGAGTGCAGTAAAACCTGGAGGGTGGAAGACGCCGTCCTCACTCATGTGGGAGCCAGAAGAGGAGATCTCATGGAGATGGAGACTGGATTGATGGTTACCGGAAGCTGGGAAAGGGGAGGAGGGGAGACGATTGAACAGAGGTTGGTACAGACATGGATACAAAAACACAGACTGAAGGAGTATGTTCTGTGGTTTGATAGCACAGTGGGGTGACTACAGTTAACAGTAATGTGCCCCAGAGTTCAAAATAGTGGCAAGAGGGGCATGGGATTGTTCCCAATATAAAGAAAACATAATGTTTGAGATGACAGACATCCCCGTTACCCTGATTTGATCACTATACATTGTACACATGCATCAAAGTATCATGTGTACATATAAAATATGTATGATAGTAATAATGATTTTTATTTTTTGAAGGAGTCTCTCAGGCTGGAGCGCAGTGGCGTGATCTCGGCTTACTGCAAACTCCGCCTCCCAGATTCAAGCGATTCTCTAGCCTCAGTCTCTGGAGTAGCTGGGATTACAGGCGTGCACCACCATGCCCTGCTAATTTTTGTATTTTTAATAGAGATGGGGTTTCACCATGTTGGCCAGGCTGATCTCAAACTCCAAACCTCAAGTGATCTTCCCACCTCCAGCTCCCAGAGTGTCGGGATTACAGGTGTGAGCCACCGTGCCCGGCCTAAAATATGTATGATTATTATATACCAGTTTAAAAAACGATTTTACTCTTTGTGCTAGGTACACTTGGAGGTGCTGGTGACAGAAAAATGAAGACCTCATCCTTCCCTTGGAAAAAAAACAAAAAAAAACAACAACAAGAAACCAAGTCTCTTAGGGAAAAGAGAACCCTGCCAGGAGCATGATACAAGAGGTGAGTACCCCGGCAGCTGCCTGTCCCAGGAGCTCAGTGTAGACCAGAAGGAGACATAGACGGGAACTCAGAATGAAGGCTACAGATTGAGGCCAGGCTGGTCCCACCAGCTTGGCAGGGCTCTCTAGACTCTGGGTCATCAATAAGTACTGTCGCCTAAAAGCTTCAATATCTGCTCTGAGCACGTCAACTCTCTTGGATGTAGTTTGAACCCCTCTACGCTTTCAGCCACTATGCTGAAGCATGGCTGCCCTGGAGACAATAATTCTGGAAGCATTTTCCATTGACAGCTCACAGGAGAAGGGCTATGGAAAGACTGCATTTCTGAATCTGAAAGCACTAGAAGATTTACATCTCCGCATGTCGGCGGTGAGGTCAGAGACTCCGCCACCACGGAATTCAAAGTTCTTTGCGGTTTGACATAATAGCTACCTATTAAGTTTGCCTTCTGCATGACCTGAGCAACTACCATTTAGAAAAGGGAAAGCTATCATCCATCATGTGTCTTTATAAAGAACTTCTTTAAACTTTATCTTATGAAGCTGTTTTCCTAATTATTTGGCTTAGCTCGGATTCCAGAGCACGGTACGAGATGTACAAATGGAATCAAATTGCCATCGTTTAGATCGGGCCGAAGATAACTTCCCAACTAAGAAGAATTAAAGGGTTTTTTTTTTTCCCTTGAAAATAACATAAATCATAATGAAATAAGCCCAAATTTAAGAATTACTTAATTTATTTGTTTATTTTATTGAGACACCGTCTGGCTCTGTCGCCCAGGCTGGAGTGCAGTGGCACAATCACAGCTCACTGCAACCTTGACCTCCTGGGTTCAACTGATCCTCCCACCTCAGCCTCTCGCGTAGCTGGGACTACAGGCATGCACCACCAAGCCCAGCTATTTTTTTTATTTTTGAAAAGACGGGGTTTCACTATGTTGTGCAGGCTGGTCTTGAACACTCGGGCTCAAGTGATTCTCCTGCCTCGGCCTCCCAAAGTGCTGGGATTCCGGGTATGTTGGGTTATTGTTCAAATAGGTCTCATCTTATACCCTTATGTCCACACCTCCGCAGTGATAACTGGTGCTCAAAAAGCTGATTGTAAAACACAGTGAGATTCTGAATCATAATTCCCGATTAACTAATTCCCACTGGAATACAGAAAAGTGTGCTAAAATATTTGGTTGACTTTCATATCTTGCTGACGCTTAAAAACCATGACTTCACATATATTTTTAAAATTCTGCCGCGATGAAGTGTGTTGTTAAGGCCGGAATATGAAACACATTTACGTTTGTTTACTTGCTTGATATATTTATACTCTTGCCCTGGGTCCCCAGAGGTTAGGGCCAGGCTTGACCTCCCTGACATGCCATTCTTCCTGCCCACCACCCTTAGCGTGTGACTTTTGCTGTGTTTTGTTTTGAGACAAGGCCTTGCTCTGTCACCCAGGCTGCAGTGCAGTGGTGAGATCACAGCTCACTGCAGCCTCAACCTCCTGGGCTCAGGTGATCCTCCCGCCTCAGTCTCACCAGTAGCTAGGACTACAGGCACATTCCACCATGCCCAGCTAGTTTTATTTTTTGTAGAGATGGGATCTGGCTATGTTGCCCAGGCTGATCTTGAACCCCTGACCTCAGGCAATCCTCCTGCCTTGGCCTCTCAAAGTGCCGGCATTGCAGGAATGAGCCTTCATACCCGGCTGCATGTGACTTTTGGCTTTTTTCACCTCATGGGCTTAAGATGGCTGCTCCTGCTCCAGCTTCATGTCCACAGTCCAAGCAGAAAGATAAAGACCAGGAGAAGGAAGACAAGGTGGCGCTGTATCACAAGAGCAAAGAATTTCCAGAAATCTTGGCTGATCTCTTGCACAACTCAGAACCATTTCACTTGGCCACCCTTAGCTGCAAAGACCTTGGGAAAAATGGACATTTTGTTTTGTTTTATTTTATATACTTATTTATTTATTTTTTCAGACGGAATTTAGCTCTGTCGCCCAGGCTGGAGTACAATGGCGCAGTCTTGGCTTACTGCAACCTCCGTGTCTTGGGTTCAAGCCATTCTCCTGCCTCAGCCTCCTGCCACCACCCCGGCTAATTTTTTGTATTTTTGTTAGAGACGGGGTTTCACCATATTGGCCAGGCTGGTCTCAAACTCCTGACCTCGCTCAGGTGATCCACCCTACTTGGCCTCCCAAAGTGCTGGGATTATAGGCGTGAGCCACTGCGCCCAGCTATTTATTTAAGATGGAGTCTCGCTCTGTCATCCAGGCTGGAGTGCAATGGTGCAATCTAAGCTCACTGCAACCTCTGCCTCCCAGGTTCAAGTGATTCTCCAGCCTCAGCCTCAGCCTCCTGAGTAACTGGGATTACAGGCATGTGCCGCCATACCCAGCCTAAAGGTGGATATTTTAGCTGGCCATGGTGCCACCCTGAACAAAACTGGGCTTCTGACCATTAGGCAAAGGAGAGAATGATTACCAAGTGGGCAAGTGGCTACATCTCCCACATGGGAGGGCCAAGAGCAGCGACCCCGGAGGATTCCTGGCCTCAAGACTAACCTGTCACAAGAGAGGTAGAGCCAGGGAGAGTCCACTAATTATGACTGTGTGGCTGCATCCACACTAGACACTTTAGGGAGGTCAAGGTTCTGGCAGACCCATACGTAGAGCCTGGGGTAGGGCTGAGACCACGGAAAAGAGACTGTCAGAGAGCCAGCTTAGAGCAGCTCAGAGGAAGAAGCACATAGCCCAAGGCACAAGACTCCTAAATTGGTTCTAGAAGGCAATTCGGCAACTCATATCAGCAGCTCTGCGTAAAGGCAAACTTGGACTTGTAGAGACCGCCTGGTAGTTCCCGCTCCTCTGGGGAGCGGGATCTCTGGGGCTGCTCCTGGCAACTCGGCTTTCCTCCCATTTTTTGAGCCCCCCTCACCTACCACCTACGGCCTTTTGTGCCTTCACTGGCCACTGCTGGCTTTAGTGGCAGCTCCAGATTTTCCAAGTCAAGGGCCAGAGGGGCCGCCTTCTGGCACAGAGTGAGGCAAAGAAACACAGTGACGTTGCACGCAGCATTTGCGCAGCAAGAGGCTGTCATTTTCCGATTGGGGTTCATTTTTGTTGGTTCTTTTGGGGGATGTAGCATGTGGCAGGGGCCGAAGCCCTGTCCCCACACCCTTCCCTGCTGCTGCAATTGGTCAGTTTCTACTGCAACGACAACAACGACGAAAACCCAATTTACATAAAAATACTTATTTCAACTTTATCACATTTAGGGAGAGACACATGCTTAATTTACTTTTACTTAATTACATTAGGAAAAGTATGATTCCTCAGTGAATTTTTAAGTGACATATTTTGTGACAAATGTAAATTCAAAGTACATTTTATGGCATCAAAAAAGAAAGATAAAACTGGTTTTATTTTATTTATTTGTTTTATGTTTGTTTGTTTTTCTTTGAGATGGAGTCTCACTCTATCACCCAGGCTGTAGTGTGATGGTGCGATCTCAGCTCACTGCAACCTCTGCCTCCCAGCTTCAAGTGATTCGTGTGCCTCAGCCTCCCAAGTAGCTGGGATTACAGGTGCGCCACCACGCCTAGCTAATTTTTGTATTTTTAGTAGAGTCGGGGTTTCACCACGTTGGCCAGGCTGGTCTCGAACCCCTCACCTCAAGTGATCCACCCGCCTCCGCCTCCCAAAGTGCTGGGATGACAGGCGTGAGCTACCATGCCGAGCCACAAAAACTGGTTTTATAAATTATTTGGAAGTTTTTGCATGTCATAGCTTTTAAACACTAAATTTTTTAAAACTGAGGTTTTTAAAAATATATGTAAATCCCACATTGGACTTCTAAATGGCAAGTGAAGAGAGAAGATTTCAGGCTTCTAGCTGTAAGCACGCTCAGCATATAACACATCATGGTTGTGGATAATCTGTATTCCTAAAGAACAACAAGCAAAATTGGGTGTCATTGTCATTATATTTTTAGTTTTTAATTTTCTTGTTTCTTTCTTTATAATTTTTGTTTTTCTTTTATGGGGGTCTCACTGCATTGCCCAGGCCGGCCTTGAACCTCTGGGATCAAGGGATCCTTCTGCCTCGGGCCCCCAAATTGCTGAATTACAAGTGTGAGCCACCACACCTGGCCTGGATAAGTCTAATTTTGATGAGAAGAAAACAGGTAAGAAACCTGAGAAGGGCTGGGTGCTGAGGCTCATGCTTGTAATCCCAGCACTTTGGGAGGCCAAGGCGGGCAGATCACTTGAGTCTAGGAGATTGAGACCAGCCTGGGCAACATGGCGAGACCCCCCCATCTCTACAAAAAGTTAGCTAGGCATGGTGACTTGTGCCTGTGGTCCCAGCTCCTCAGGAGGCTGAGGTGGGAGGATCGCCCGAACCCAGGAGGTGGAGATTGCAAGCGAACTGAAATGTGCCACCGCACTCCAGCCTGGGTGACAGAGTAAGACCCTGTCTCAAACAAAACAAAATGAACAAACAAACCCAGGAAAACTCATGTTACAGTCAACTTGTAGGAATGTTATTATTCTCTTCTCCTCGGTGCCCTTTCTTTTCACCATCAGTGTTCCTGAAGTTTCCTTCCATCAGAGATTCATTATGTGTGTACATTTATAAATGAAAATGATTCCACGTGTCCATGAGCTTCCGTAGGGGTCAGCTATGGACCTGAGAACAGACGTAAGGACTCCGGGCTGAGCATCTCTCTGAGGCTCCCAAAGTGTTTAATAATTGTTAATAAATAGAAATGGAAACAGACGCTTTTCTTCCTCTAGTGAGATGACCGCTCTGGCCCTCCATGGCAAATTCCATTTCCTCCCAAATCCCTTTCCCTGACCTCGCAGATCCCCAGACAGAGGGACCATCCCTTACAGCTGACTGGCTGGCCGGTCCCTAATGCCAGTCAGATGTCCTGAACAAGGAAAGCCGTGATTGCTGTGACCAGAGAGAATCAGTCCGTCACGCTGTCCCTCGGCCAGGATGAACTCGGCCTGTTGTCTCCAGAGAGCTGGTAAATCGGCAGCTGAGGAAACATACAGTTCTGTGTTTCAAAATGCAAATGACCACAGTTCCCTGACCCCGGGTGTCCGCTGACACATTCCCGACCAATGACTATAAATCTGCTCTTGGAATGTGGTAAGTTGAGAAATTAAACACAAATACCCCAATCTGATAACCTTCCTCTAGCCTTTCACAGTATTGTTTATAGAACTGCATTTTAGAAAATGAATTCCTTTATGCTCAAGGTTTTAGGGCTTTTGTCTTCCAAGCCCAGAAACTGCAAACGTTTTCATGATAAGAGAAAGCTGGGGTTCTTCCTGCTACTTAAATTACAGGCACTCGTATGAGTTACCTGCCGCTGTGGATGTGTGTTGGGTTTCAGCTGCTCTCTAGCCATTCTTCCGCCCTTAGAGCATCTGAATTTCCTTTTATGGAATGGCCTCACCCCCTTTGAGGGAATCCGATGAAATCTCAAGTCCAAGCACCTGCTTCCCAGTGAGAGGGCGAAGCTGCTAGCGTTCTGGAACTACATGATTTCCGCCCATTTTCAAACTCAGCGCCTCAACCTCACATCCGTTGAATGAGTCCGAGAGAGCCTTCCAATACATTCCCTTTTGCTTCCATTAGACTCTAACTGGTGATCCTAGTGCAGAAGGGAGGATCACTTGAGGTCCAGGAGGTCAAGGCTGCAGTGAGCTAGGATCACGCCACTGCACTCTAATCTGGGCTGCACAGTGAGACCCCATCTCAAAAATAAATAAATAATAAAACAAAATATTTTTGAAAAGCCCTCAAGGATCGGTGAGAACACATCTACAGGCCAGAGCTCCACTGAGTTTGATTTCAAAACCCCGATTGGCAGATCCTCTGGTGTTTTGACAGAAGAATATGTATTAGAGATAAGACAGGGCTCTCAGGAAGCCGGATTGAGGCTGATGGGGACGGGCGCCTCCCTTCTGCACTAGGATCACCAGTTAGAGTCTAATGGAAGCAAAAGGGAATGTATTGGAAGGCTCTCTCGGACTCATTCAACGGATGTGAGGTTGAGGCGCTGAGTTTGAAAATGGGCGGAAATCATGTAGTTCCAGAACGCTAGCAGCTTCGCCCTCTCACTGGGAAGCAGGTGCTTGGACTTGAGATTTCATCGGATTCCCTCAGCCTCCCGAGTAGCTGGGACTACAGGTACACGCCAGCATGCCTGGCTAATTTTTGTATTTTTTGTAGAGACGGGGTTTTGCTATGTTGTCCAGGCTGGTCTCAAACTCGTGGGCTCAAGCAGTGCTCTCACCTCAACCTCCCAAGGTGCCGGGATTATAGACTCAAGCCACCGCACCTGGCCTTCAGTGAAAATCTTAAAGGATTGATGTAAAAATCACATAGTGGGATTGTGATCCTCCCATCAAACTCTGTATCAAACATTCATCCTAAAGCTCATCAGTTCAGAGTTAGAGAGCAAACAACTTCAGATAAAGAGGCTTTCCAAAACACTGGGAATTTAGGCAGACATGGGGCTTGGGGAAACTGAAGCACCCAGTGTGACTTCTCTTCCCTGATGACGATGTGGCCTTGGTGAAGCTGAGTTTGGTCCAAGAAACAGGAGAGTTCAGTGTTGATGAAAATTCTCTCGAACAAAAGTCATGGATTGCTAGAGCAAGTTCTTCTTCAACTGTGACAATGAGACCAGGCTATCCAAGTTCAAGGGCAGAACAAAAATCAAGGACAATGTTAATCGGCTGCATTAGGGAATCCATGGAGAGGCCACTGTGGGTCCCTGGAAGCTACACTGAAATGTGTGTCATCTGCTTCCACCCTGGTGAGAGGGGACCCACTTCCACAAGTTTCCATGTCCTCTATTATTACATAGAGACCCTAAAGTCATCGCACAGCGAGAGGAGAGATATGGTTCCTTCCTGCTGCACATTCACCCAGCTGAAACTCTGCAGTCAGTATCCAGAGTGAGACAGGCACCACCAGGTGTGGAAGATTCAGGAAGCTGAAAGGAGAAACACTGAGCTGGCTCTTCCCAAGGTAGGTGCAGAGCCACCCATGCCATGAGGCTGGGGGGTGATGGAAGAATTTTTTAACAGTGGGATTTATGCAGTTTCCCTAGATGGGACGGTTCCCGTGCAGTGGTTAGGTTAAGGAAGCTGAAGAAAGTCCAGGCAGCCCACTGACCGTGCCCTGGCTTCTCCCAACCACCTAGGACCTGGAGATGACTTGGGGTCCAAAGGGAGTTAAAAAACTAAGGAACCAGGCCGGGCGCAGTGGCTCAAGCCTGTAATCCCAGCACTTTGGGAGGCCGAGGCGGGTGGATCACGAGGTCAAGAGATCGAGACCATCCTGGTCAACATGGTGAAACCCCGTCTCTACTAAAAATACAAAAAATTAGCTGGGCATGGTGGTGCGTGCCTGTAATCCCAGCTACTCAGGAGGCTGAGGCAGGAGAATTGCCTGAACCCAGGAGGCGGAGGTTACGGTGAGCCGAGATCGCGCCATTGCACTCCAGCCTGGGTAACAAGAGCGAAACTCCGTCTCAGAAAAAAAAAAAACAAACAAACAACTAAGGAACCTCAGGCCAGGTGCCGTGGCTCCAGCACTTTGGGAAGTTATAATCCCAGCACTTTGGGAGGCCTAGGAGGGCTGATCCCTTGAGTTCAGGAGTTGGATACCAGCCTGGCCAACATAGCGAAACCCCATCTCTAAAAAAAAAACGATAAAAAGGAGGTGGGCATGGTGGCACAATCCTGTAATCCCAGCTACTCAGGAGGCTTAGATGGGAGAATCAGGTGACCCCAGGAGGCAGAGGTTGTAGTGAACTGAGACCACACCACTGCATTCCAGCCTGGGCAATAGAGAGAGAGAGAGAGACGCTGTCTCAAAACAAAACAAAAAGCTAATAAAGCAAAACAGAAAAAACAAAACCTTGAACCTTATCAAGCCACATTACATCAGGAGCATAGAACTGGCCAGATTCCGGATATGGGGAATTTCTGCAGGGTCAACAGCCCAGGTACATCAACAAACAATGTCGTGGGAAAAGATGGAGCCGGAAGTGTTGCAGATTAAGAGAAGTGACAGTCAGCGGCAACTGAGGGCTCTCGTTTGGCTCTGCATCTGGACAAATCAACAGTAAAAATCCATGATTGAGAAAGCAGGGAAATGGGAAGCCGGACCGGTCTGAAAGGATGGTGGCGGCTGGGACATCACTGTGGTGAAGCTGGAGCTAGATTTCCCCACATCCCTGTCTCTGTGACGTTCTGGGTTATGAGGTGGCCCAAAGAGGCATTGTCATGGGATTGGGGAGGCTGTGTGAAGCACCAGCCACGACTCTCCAAAGTTCTTAGACTTGATGCATGACAGACGCACACACAGGTATCTATGAAGGCCGGCTTGTCCGCCTCTCCCGTCCCTATCCACTCCTCTCTGACCACCAACTCTGCTGACCAGCAGCGGCCCTGAGCCAGCCTCCAGGTGCTTGGCCGGGGTCCACTCTGGCTGGAGCAGTTATTAAAGAGTTTTTGTTCACCGCATTAGCTTCATCGTGGTTTTGTGTTACACCGGGGGCAGGACGTTCCCATTTGTTGTAGGGACACACGGAAGCATTTATGGGTGACATTATGTCATTTCTGGGGTTTGCTTTAAAATACTTCAAAACAAAAGAGGCTGGAGAGTGGAGACTAAACAACATCGCAAAATGGTGATGATTGTTAGCGTTGGAAGATGGGCTCATGGTTCTTTTCGCTGTGTTTCTGGTATGTTCGAAAATATTCATGGTTTCAAATTGTGGGGCAGAGGGAGCTAAGGAAATGGAACAGACCCTGAAGACCCCCCCTCCTCCACTCCAGACCAACACTAGGCAAAGTCGCAGGCAAAATTGCATAACTGGAAAGTGCTTCAATTCTTCTTGAGGATGTGGGTTAAGGGAGGGAGGAAAAACTTAAGAGTGGTAACGGGCTGATGAATAGACACACACCACAGAAGAAAAAAGGAAAACGAATGCAAGCTGACTATTACTTTTAACTGTGAGTAATACGCTGGGACATGTGTGAGCTGGTCTTGTTCTTACAAACAAGGCTAAAAAAAAACCTATGACCTTGGAATTCTCAGATTCATGCAGGCTGTTGAATTCTTCTAAAGTGGTGTTCAGAGGACAGGGTTTCAGACCTAAGGAGGTACTTTTCAAAAGGGACCTTCTAACTTCGAATTTTAAATATTAATTGAGATCTAAAACTTCTTTTTAGGAAAGATGTAAAAATCTTCATGAGCTCGGCCATTGTTTTGGTTGGGAGAGAAGATGACTGCGTAGGACGTGGGCCAACCCAAACAGAAGGGCGGAGACTGGCAGCAGGCCCACAGCCCTGTCCACAAATGTTCTTCTCCAGGGCTGAGCTTCTTGGAAAGGGGTTTATTTTATTTCATTCTATCCCAGCTCCACAGTTGGGTCATTTTAGGATCTCAGCTGGTGGCCACAGCTTTTGAGGCTTCTGAGTCACACTCCTTCTTTGTTTTTGCTTTTTTTAAAGAGGTTATTTAAAAGTTTTTCAAAGTAGGGAGATGTTATATGGGCAATATTAAGCAGAAGAAATTTTTTTATATTGGAAAAAGTAAATGATTGGTGTTCATAAAAGCGCATAGTCAGTAAATCAGAAAAAACTGTGAACCCGACAGAGAAACAAACTCAAGGGAAAATACGGCATACAGGGTTTTGTTTTTTGTTTTTTGTTTTTTTGTTTTGAGATGGAGTTTCACTCTTTTGCCCAGGCTGGAGTGCAGTGGCGCAATCTTGGCTCACTGTAACCTCCGCCTTCTGGTTTCAAGCAATTCTCCTGCCTCAGCATCCCAAGTAGCAGGGATTACAGATGCCGGCCACCATGCCCGGCTAATCTTTGTATTTTTAGTAGAGATGAGGTTTCCCATGTTGGCCAGGCCGGTCTCGAACTCCTGACCTTGTGATCTGCTTGTCTAATTTTTTTTTTTTTTTTTTGTATTTTTAGTAAAGATGGGGTTTCTCCATGTGGGTCAGGCTGGTCTCGAACTCCTGACCTCAGGTGATCCACCCGCCTCGGCCTCCCAAAGTACTGGGATTACAGGCATGAGCCACTGTGCCCAGCCCTACTGCATTTGGTTTTAAAAGATGCTAAAGTTGATCCTAGCACCCTGTCTCAGGATGAGAACAGAGGGAGGAAATCAGAACTGCAGATGACACATGGGGAGGTAGGGGTGGCCAAGGCAAGAGAGAGGGAGGAGGATGCGGACTCCAGGGCTTAGAAGAGGAGAAATTGAAAATGCCAAACCCTAGAGGAGATGGCAGCTCAGTCACCTGCAAGGCAGGCTGGCCCAGGTTCCCACACCTCCTTGTCCCATAGTCAAGTCCAATAAAATGGCAAGGGTGGCAGGCGGGTAAGGGAAGTAGAGACACAGGGTCCTCTAGAATGTTCAGTTACTGATGGTTTTCCCTGAGAAGGGGATCAGAATATGCCACCCCCAGGCCAGGTGCATTGGTTCACACCTGTAATCCTATCACTTTAGGAGGCTGAGGTGGGTGGATCACTTGAGCCCAGGAGTTCAAGACCAGCCTAGGCAACACATTGAGATCCCATCTCTATATAGTAAAAATTAAAAATAAAAAAAACTTTAAAAAGAGTATGCCATCCTCAAAGACGTACTTTGGCATAAGGATTATTCTGAGCTGGAGGCATTCGAGAATCGACAAGCAAGCAGAGTTCTCTGCTCTCTCCCTCCCTGCCTAAAAGCTGGGCATAAATTTCTCCCATGACGGTGTCCCTGCACCCATCAGAGGACAAGAAGAGCACTCATCCCCAGAGGCAGTAGACCCCAAGATGACTCTGCGTGAACAGCCCCTTATAAAATAAGCCCTGACTTCCTGCTCATCCCCATATGCTTCTTAGTCACTTCCCCACAATTTGTTGTCCCTCCAAGCTCAAACCTGCCTTTCTTTGTTAAGATGGTATATAAATTCCTGAACCTAACCACTTGAGTTTCACTTTTTTTTTTCCTGTGAGCTCTCATACATGGGAATGTTTATAAAAATTGTGTACCTTGTCTCCTGTTAACCCGTCTTTTGCTGTTTTATTTTATTTCATTTTTTGAGACAGGGTCTTGCTCTGTCATCCAGACTGGGTGTGCAGTTTGGCTCACTGCAACCTCTGCCTCCCTAGTGCAAGCTATCCTCCCACCTCAGCCTTCCAAGTAGCTGGGACTGCAGGTGCATGCCACCACACCTGGCTAATTTTTGTACATTTTGTAGAGACAGAGTCTTACCATGTTGTTCAGGCTGGTCTCTAACTCCTAGGCTCAAGTGATCCTACCTCAGCCTCCCAAAATGCTAGGATTACAGGTGTGAGCCACTGTGCCAGGCCTGTCTTTTGCTAGTTTAATTTGCAGCCCCCTAATCATATAACATAAGAGGGTAGAGGCAACATGTTTCCTCCCTGACATCTGTATTCAAGGGTGAATTAAATGCACAAAATGGGGACCTCTAGGCCAATTGCCAGACCCCATAAAAATAATTAACCTGAGGCCGGTCAGATCCTTGAGGCCACTCATGACCTACAGATAAATTAGAAACCCAGGCCTTCCCCATGTCCAACAGAAAGCCCAATGTCAGGTGACCTGTTTATATTTTGACACATTTTAGCAACTGTAATAATGGCTTTAGCATTCCTGTATATCTTCGTATTTTTTATAAACAGCTTTATTAAGACATCAAATAAAACAAACATAAAATAAACACTTAATGGTAATAGATACGTTTTGACATAGAAATTCACCATAAAACTATTCGCCATGATCAAGACAGTGAACCTGCCCATCACCCCTCATCCTTTCCTCATGCCCCTTTGATATCATAGTATTTTCATGTGTCAGAACAGCAGTGTGGGCTGGATGTGGTGGCTCATGCCTGTAATCGCAGCACTTTGGAAGGCCAAAGTGGGCAAATCACTTGAGGCCACGAGTTTGAGACCAGCCTAGCCAACATGGCGAAACCCCGTCTCTACTAAAACTACAAAAGTTAGCTGGGTGTTGCGGCATGCACCTGTAATCCCAGCTACTCAGGAGGCTGAGGCACTAGAATTGCTTGAACCCAGGAAGCAGAGGTTGCAGTGAGCTGAGATTGCACTCCAACCTGGGTGACAGAGTGAGACGCTGTCAAAAAAACAACAACAATGAAAAAACAGCAGTGTGTTTGTGAGTGTAGTACCATTATTTTAGATTACAGTGGGCAATTTGCTGAGATTTCTGCCTCTATCCTCAATCCCTTTCCCACTCCTGTTCCCAGCACACATTGTTATGTCCACAGCTATTTTTGTTGTTGTAGTTCTGGCTACCTAGAGGCCCTGGGAGCCACAGTAGCTCAATTGCAGTGAGCACACCTGCTATCCAGATCTTGGTTTCTAAACACCCTTCTCCACCAAAAGCTCCTTTGAGAAGCAGCTGATTCCAGACCAGACAGGGAAAGCACATGGGGAGCCTAGAACATGTAGCCATCTCAGCAGAAAAGGCAGTGTTCAGAGAATGACGGAGATGTGCCAAAAGGACTCAGAAGTCAGCTTGAAGGGGTCACCGAATATGGGGCAATTTGAGCATCAAAATAAAGATGGTAGCAGATTATAACCGAGCGGATAAAACAGGAAACAATGAATCCACACTGAACACATTCAGAGCTTGATGAGGAAAGGATTTTTTTTTTAAGTGTCTCCCTCAAGATACATATTCATTAAGAGGGAAAAAGAGCAATTTTACAGTGAAGAAGCTGAGCCAACAAATCCCACTTTATCAAGTGATCAGTAAAGCAGCAAATCAAAATCCTGCCCCATGTGTCATAATACAATAAAAAGACCGCACTACTCCTGAGCTGTTCCCGCTAAAGATGCATCACTTGACTCTACCATGAGGACACGTCAGAGAAACGAAAACCGAAGTGTGGGCCACAAAGCAAGAGTACTACTGAAACCACCCGCGCAAAAGTATAAATCAGGAAATTATGACAATGAAAGAGATCAGGTCTAACCGACTCCATCTTGCTTCTAACATTTAAGCTGTTCTTGTTCATTTCTGGGCATAGGCCAAACTAACTTTGGGAAGGATTTCAGTTCCTGGTTTGACTCTGAAACATAATTGGTAATAGCCCTTTCCTGAAAAGATCCCCTTCTTGCCTGAGACCAGTCTGCCTTTGCAGGACTAACAAATTAGCTACAACATTAGAAATTACAGTTTAGGGGTCACGCAGCCTCTGGCTCCCAGAGTCTGAACCTCCCCACATTGCTCCTGCGGATAACATCGCTATTTTAAAACCTAAGACTGGTGCTTGAGATATTTTGCAGACCCTGAACTCAGTGAATCAACAGACACCACCCAGACCGGTAATCTGAATCAAGCTGTTCTGCCATCCCACCCAGGAACAGAAAACAGCAAGAAAAACTCACTTCGACCCCCTGTGATTCCATCTCCATAGCACTCCCTACTTCCCAAGCCCCTACCAGCCAAATTATCCTTAAAAACTCTAATTGCCAAATGCTCGGTGAGACTGATTTGAGTGATAATGAAACTCCAGTCTCTCACACAGCTAACTCTGTGTGAATTACTCTTTCTCCATCGCAATTCCCCTGTCTTTTCTTTTCCTTTGAGGCGGAGTCTTGCTCTGTTGCCCAGCTTAGACTGCCATGGTGGGATCTCAGCTCACTGCAGCCTCCACCTTCTGGGTTCAAGTGATTCTCCTGCCTCAGCCTCCTGAGTAGCTGGGATTACAGGCATGCGCCGCCACGCTCGGCTAATGTATTTTTAGTAGAGACGAGGTTTCACCATGTTGGTCAGGCTGGTCTCGAGCTCCTGACCTTGTGATCCGCCCTTCTTGGCTTCCCAAAGTGCTGGGATTACAGTTGTGAGCCACCACGCCCAGCCTTCCCCTGTCTTGATAAATCAGCTCTGTCTACGCAACAGGCAAGGTGAACTCACCAGGCAGTTAGTTACACTATTATCTTAGTGGCAAGGTCATATTGGTCATGGGAAGACTAAAGAGGAAGATGGAGCAATTCAATGCAATGTCCTTTCACCATAAAGGACATTATTGGAACCACTGGCAACACATGGGTGGGGTCTGAGGGGTCAATGGTGGTAATGAGCCTGTGCCACCTTCTCGACATCAATGGTTGAGCAGCAGTTATGTTAGAGTCGTTTGAACCGGAGCAACTCCTTCTTAAATAGGAGCTAGTTAAAATGAGGCTGAGACCTACTGGGCTGCAGTCCCAGGCACTTAAGGCATTCTAAGTCACAGGATGAGACAGGAGGTCCACACAAAATGCAAGTCACAAAGATCTTGCTGAAAAAAAGAGTTGCAGTAAAGAAGCCGGCTAAAACCAAGATGGCAACGAGAGTGACGTCTGGTCGTCCTCACTGCTACACTCCCGCCAGCACCAGGACAGTTTACAAATCCCATGGCAACGTCAGGGAGTTACCCTCTATGGTCTAAAAAGGGAAGGCATGAATAATCCACCCCTTGTTTAGCATGTCATCAAGAAATAACCATAAAAAATGGGCAACCAGCGGACCTCGGGGCTGCTCTGTCTATGGAGTAGCCATTCTTTTTTTTTTTTTTGAGACGGAGTTTCACTCTTGTTGCCCAGGCTGGAGTGCAATGGCACGATCTCAGCTCACTGCAACCTCCACCTCCTGGGTTCAAGTAATTCTCCTGCCTCAGCCTCCCGAGGAGCCAGGATTATAGTTATGCACCACCATGCCTGGCTAATTTTGTATTTTTAGTAGAGATGGAGTTTCTCTATGTTGGTCAGGCTGGTCTTGAACTCCCGACCTCAAGTGATCTGCTTGCCTAGGCCTCCCAAAGTGTTAGGATTACAGGCATGAGCCACTGCGCCTGATCGCCATTCTTTGATTCCTTTACTTTCTGAATAAACTTGCTTTCACACTACAGACTTATCCTGAATTCTTTGTTGTGTGAGATCCAAGAACCCTGTCTCGGGGTCTGGACCGGGACCCCTTTTGTGTGACAATTTTGCAGGACGTCCTTATCTATAGGAAGCACATCTTCAAGTGCTTAGGCTCAATGGACGTGCTGGTTGGCAACTGACTCTTCAATGATCCAGAGAAAAAAGTTTTTGAGATCTACTTGCAATTTTCCTGTAGGTATGTGGTTGTTAGTAAAAAACAAACATTTAAATAAATAAGGCATCTCATCATTTTCTCTTAAATGTATGTCTTAAAGGAATGTATTCATGACGACAGAGAAGTCAGTCTAGAAGGAGACAGACAGCAAGTGGGAGGCCCCCCACCCTGGTCTGGATGAGTCAGCCCCCACATTCTGCTTTCCTGACCCAAGTCCAGCTCAGAAACCCTTCTTAGGAGTTTCACATGAGCCTCTATTTGCTCATCACAGCACTTCTGATCTGGCCATTGTAACGGCCCATTTACTTATAAATTCCATGAGATTAGGGACGTTGACTGACTTGTTCACTGCTGTCTTCCTGGAGGTGGAGGCAATTTCAGGGACACGGTGGCTCCTCAGTAAGCATTTGCTGAATGGATGAAAGAATGTTTCACACGGACGCCAAAGAAGGCTTCTCCATAGTCTTGGATTATTTCTCCTTTTCTTTTTCTTTTTTTTTGGAGACAACATCTGGCTCCATCACCCAGGCTGGAGTGCAGTGGCATGATCCACCTCACTGCAGCCTCCACTTCCTGGGCTCAAGTGACCCTCCAGCCTCAGCCTGCCGAGTAGCTGGGACCACAGGCACACACACCACGCCTGGCTAATTTTTGTTTGTTTGTTTGTTTGTTTTTTGTAGAGATGGGGTTTTGCCAGGTTGCCCAGGCTGATTTCGAACTCCTGGGCCCAAGCAATCCACCTGCCTTGGCCTCCCAAAGTGCTGGGATTGCAGGTGTGAGCCACCGTACCTGGCCGGAACGTGTCAAATCAAGCAGTGAAAAGGTAAGACCCATGCTGCAGCCGCGTGATCCGCCTGTTCCTCAGTGTGGATGAAGCTCTTTGCCCTCCTCCATGGAACTATTGCACGGTTTTGCTCCTGACTCTCTTGAGTGCTTGCAGAGGAGGCATGGAAAGGTCTGGAGTGAGTCACTGCCATCTATCAACATGACGTTGTTCTCTGAAGGGCTCGCAGTGGGAAGACCTAAAAAGGAGGAAAACGAGAAGGCTTGCCAAGGCTACTGAACAAAGGGTCAAGCCCCCAGCCAGTCACCAAGCTCCAGACCCTTCATAACGAGGTTCTGAAGCCATGCGACGCCCTCATCCCTGTCATCACCACAGTCACGTCAGGGCTTCTGGAGTTGTAACCATGATTTCCTTTAAAGAAACCGAGGACACTTCACCCTTGACTTTGAAAATGTCGACTAACTTTCCCAAAGCGAATCTCTGCTGGTATTTCTCACTTGGCAATCTGCACGGCCTGGGGAGCCCACAGCGGGGCTGGCACGTTCTTTTGTTCAGCTTCTCCACCGGAAGGAGTTTGTGTAGAAAGCAAAAGAAACCAGTGTTCATGCCACAAGAGGGGTCATTGTTCTGAGCTGCCACATTCCGTTAAATGTTTACCTTTTTGTTTCACAATCTAACAGGAAATGAGGAGCGAAGGGTTTTTGGTTCCCTTATCCCCCTTTGGTCAAGACTGAAGAAGGCCAGTTGTTATTCTGGTTGCTCAGAAAGGAAATGTGAAAGGTAGGGACTCAGCACCGTCGCTAGAGGCTCCAGTCGCAGTCTGGGGTTTAGACCAAATCTGTTGCATGAAACGTTTCAGAGGTATGAGCCTTTGTCAACCTCTCTCCACGTGCCTTGGGGGACAGGATGTTTAGCAAGAGGGGCCGAACATTGTGACCACCTTTCTATTGGGTCCGTAGAACGTTACAAATGATCAAGATTAAAAACTGGACAGAGGCCAGGTGTGGTGACTCACGCCTGTAACCCCAGCACTTTGGGAGGCTGAGGTGGGTGGATCACCTGAGGTGAGTGGATTGCCTGAGGTGGGTGGATCACCTGAGGTCAGGAGTTTGAGACCAGCCTGGCCATTATGGTGAAACCACATCTCTACTAAAAAATACAAAAATTAACCGGGCATAGTGGCAGGTGCCTGTAATTCCACCTACTGGGGAGGCTGAGGCAGGAGAATCGCTTGAACCCGGGAGGTGGGGGTTGCAGTGAACCAAGATTGCACCACTGGACTCCAGGCTAGGCAACAGAGTAAGACTCTGTCTCAAAACAAAACAAAACAAAAAAGACTGGACAGAGATTAGATTCCTTAGTAACCAAATACAAGGTAGGGAAGAGGCAAAAGGCTGGGACCAGATGGGAAGGAGGCCAGAGGGCATCTCCAGGCTCTCCGTCATTTCAGACGCATTCTTCAAGACCAGACCCCAACCCAGTTCCTACTTCTAGGAGAAGCGGATATTTGCTTAAAGTTCCGTTCGTGGAATGGCCCAGCTGGGATGGAAACCAGGGTATGAATTCTAGTGAATTCTAGTACCAGCTCCACCGCTGAAAAGCAGAGTGGACCCTCCCTAGCCTAACATCTTCTAATAACTCAAGTCATAGAGGAAAATACATCTTTTAGGGCATTTTCAGCTTTTTTGTTGCCTTAAAATAGAGTCAGGGAAAGAAAGACTTTACCCTCTATGTTCAATAGCTGAGCCTAGGAAATACACTGACAATACACATATTTAACAGGAGAAAGGGTCTATAAATGTATTAATTTTCTTTTTTTGCTTTTTTTTTTTTGAAATGAAGTCTTGCTCTTGTCACCCAGGCTGGAGTGCAGTGGCACGATCTCGGCTCACTGCAGCCTCGGCCTCCCAGGTTCAAGCGATTCTCCTGCCTCAGCCTCCTGAGTAGCTGGGATTACAGGTGCCTGCTACCATGCCCGGCTAATTTTTATATTTTTAGTAGAGACGGGATTTCACCATGTTGGCCAGTCTGGTCTCAAACTCCTGACCTCAGGTGATCTGCCCACCTCGGTCTCCCAAAGTGCTGGCATTACAGGCGTGAGTCACCGTGCCTGGCCTTAAATTTTCATAGTATATGCACAGGGGGAATCACAGCAGGAAACAAAGTGAATACCACAAAAAAGTGATGTCATATGAACGGAGAAAAGGGAGAGGAGATGTGGGCTACTCTGGGGACAGGAAATGGTTTTTAGGAAGGATAAATGGACCTCTAGAGGAGCCGATGGGAGAGAGGAGGGTTGGTGACAGCTTGTCTGGATGTCAGGGCCATCCTTGCTGACTGGTGAAACTCCTGGGGAGGGGACTTGGGACAACTGATGTCCTTTTGGAGGCTCTGCCTTTGGGCAGATGAGAGGAGTTCAGGGAACCCTGTCTCTGCGTTTACTATTCTCCAGTGCCTTCTGCTCAAAATCACCAACATTCCAAAGTGGAAAATTTTGGGGCAGTCTGTCCTGAACTTCACTCGACAGTCAAAAATATTTTTAAAAAATTAAAAATGGGCCAAGTGCGGTGGCTGACACCTATAATCCCAGCACTTTGGAGGACTGAAGTGGGCAGATCACTTGAGGTCAGGAGTTGAAGTCCAGCCTGGCCAACATGGTGAAACCACATCTCTACTAAGAATACAAAAATTGCCTGGGTGTGCTGGCAGTTGCCTATAATCCCAGCTACTTGGGAGGCTGAGGCAGGAGCATTGCTTGAACCCAGGAGGCAGAGGTTACAGTGAACCAAGATCGTGCCACTGCACTCCAGCCTGGGTGACAGAGTGAGACACCATATCAAGAATAAATAAGTCAATAAATAAATAAAAATTAAAAATGGATAATTCAGTCATAAATAAGACTGTCATAATGAAATAAAGTTGGTGATTTTCAATACTTCTAAATATTCCTATATTCAAAGCCCAGTCTCTGAACTTTGCACAGGCTCTTGGGTTCAAGTCCCACCTCTGCCAGTTACTAGCTGTGTAACTCGGGAGAAACTGTATCACCTTTCTGTGCCTCAGTTTCCACAGCTACTAAAAGAGGGAGATAACAATAAGGACTCACAGGTTTCCGAGAGGATGAAAGGAGCCAGTGCAAAGGTAAAGCAGTGCATGGCACATAGCGAACACTCAACAAACGCCAACACTCGTCACAATAATATCCTCACAGCATTTTTAAAGAAAGGATTTTATGCTCGGGAAAGCATGTGATTTTTTTTTAAAGCTACCGTGAACAAATCTGCACACAGAGCAAAGAGGTGCACTTTCTTTTTTGTTTATTTGTTTTTGAGATGGAGTCTCGCTCTTGTTGCCTAGGATGGAGTACAATGGCGTGATCTCGGCTCACGGCAACCTCTGCCTCCTGGGTTCAAGCAAGCCTCTTGCCTCAGCCTCCGAAATAGCTGGGATTGCAGGCGCCTGCCACCATGCCTGGCTAATTTTTGTATTTTTAGCAGAGATGGGGTTTCTCCATGTTGGTGAGGCTGGTCTTGAACTCCTGACCTCAGGTAATCTGCCTGCCTCAGTCTCCCAAAGTACTGGGGTTATAGGCGTGAGCCCCCGCACCCGGCCATGCTTTCTTTTTCTTTCTGTCTTTTAGACTTAGTCTTGCTCTTGTCTGCCAGGCTGGAGTGCAAATAGCATGATTTTGGCTCACTGCAACCTCCGCCTCCCGGGTTCAAGCAATTCTCCTGCCTCAGCCTCCCAAGTAGCTGAGATTTCAGGCACCTGCCACCATGCCTGGTTAATTTTTGTATTTTTAGTAGAGATGGGGTTTCACCATCTTGGCCAGGCTGGTCTTGAACTCCTGACCTCAGGTGGTCTGCCTGCCCCGGCCTCCAAAAATGCTGGGATTATAGGCATGAGCCACCACACCCAGTCCGCACTTTCCTCTTATTTAACTTTTTAAAATTTTGCCCATCATTGGCCAGATTTACACGTTCAAATTTCTTTTCTTTTTTCTTTTGAGACAGAGTCTCGTTCTGTTGTCCAGGCTGGAGTGCAGTGGCATGATCATGGCTCACTGCAACATCCGCTGCCTGAGTTCAAGCAATTCTCCTGCCTCAGCATCTCGAGTAGCTGTGACTACAGGCAAGTGCCGCCATGCCCAGGCAATTTTTGTATTTTTAGTAGAGACGGACAGGTTGGTCCCAAACTCCTGAACTCAGGTGACCCATCTGCCTCGGCCTCCCAAAGGGCTGAGATTACAGGTATAAGCCACCATACCCGGCCTCAAATTTCAAATAATTCTTATCCACATTAAAATTTGACCTTCTTTTTCAGACCCCAAAGGAGAGTTTCACTCTTGCTTTCCTAGTGATGCACGTATCTATTTTTTAGACCCTTTTCACTGTAAGTGATGCCAACTGAATTTAAACCAGTTTAGGCGAGAAGAGCTCCGTGCAGGCCCAGGTGAGCGCGCTTCAGGAAAGGCAGGCTCCACTGCGGCTCTGTGTGTGCTGAGCGTCCCTCACTGTCACACACTGGGACAACACAGTGGTCTCAGCCAGACTGTGGGGCTGGAGGCTTCTTAGAGGTCATCCTCTTGTTCCCACAGCCCCCAGGCCCACCCCTAACAATTCCGAGAGTGTGGAGGAACATGGACTTTCTCTCTCAGCTCCTGCTTGAAAAAGCTTGAGGAAGAACTCGAGATTGATGGACTGGGGGACGCTACCCAGGTCCTGGAACTGGTCCCTGGCGGAGAAGAGAGTGGCAGAAGGGGGAGATTTATCACAGTCATCGCAGAGAGAGAGGCTGACAAAAAGCATGAAACCCTCGGAGGCAACCGGGCCGTGTTCGTCAATGCTTCATGAGTCAGGTGTCTGGGAACGCAAAAGACACGCCGGCTGGACACCACGGCTGTGGCCGGTCACATAGGGGAGGCTTGCCTGGAGACAGAGCCTGCTGTGAACACCTGTCTGTTCACTGATCTCAGACAGGGACCCTGGGATGTAAAGGTTTCTTCATCCAGCAGCCGGGAGTGCTTCTGCTGGCTGCCTGGGTGCATCGGGCGAAGGTCTCACCCCGCCCTCCCGCCCCTCCCCACCCCACCCCACCCCACCGTAATGAGTTTAAAGGGGAGGGCCATGCCGGGAAGGTTGCAGCTAACCCAGTCCTCGGGGAATGATTTCATGGGGTTTGATGAAAACAAACAAGTGTCTCATATCCATTTCAAACTGCTGGGTTGCAGTGGACTTTATAAAATTTCCACTATCTAGATCAGTTACGAAGTTGGGTGAAATATATACATACACATATGTATTTTGTGTGTGTGTGTATGTTACTGCATACTCTGATCTCCTCACACTTTCAAGTTCATTTCTAGTCCACCAGGTCTGTCTGGAAGTTCTAAAAAAGATCTTTTTAATAAATTCTGCTAAACATTGCCGAGGAATGGTTTGTTTGCATTTGTTGTGCACTGCACAGGCCCGCCTCCAGGTCTCTGGGGAACCATATGAGGCATTTTCCCAAGTTATTTCCAGAATAAACAAGGCTTGAAAGGCCAGCCTCGCTCCACCGCGGCCCACAGCTTCGCTTCTCTGCTCCAGGCAGGAGGAGAAACCCCTGACCTTCTGTAAATATTTCAACACAAGCAGTTCTCTCCGGGATTAGAATTTG